TTACGTTACGTTACGGTTACGTTACGTTACGTTACGTTACGTTACGTTACGTTACGTTACGTTACGTTACGTTACGTTACGTTACTCTACTTACGTACTCTCGCTCTCTCTCTCTCTCTCTCTCTCTCTCTCTCTCTCTCTCTCTCTCTCTCTCTCTCTCTCTCTCTCTCTCTCTCTCTGTATGGTGACAATGTTATGGTGAAGCATAAGGAAAATCAGTTGTGTTTGATAGTTTAGTACCTATTGCACAGAAGTGTTATGGAGCTTAAGTGAGCTACTAGTTATACAAGGGCTAAGCATTTAATACTCCTGCTCCCTCGTACAAATAAGGTGTGGGAGGTTTGTGGGCATAGAGATACCATGAGAGAGAGCAAAAAATGAAAGGAAGTAACACTTCAAAGGGAAACAAGTGAACCTAAACATGATTAGGCATGATTTATTTATGAAACACATGGAACTACAACTAAACAGGCTTTTGTGTGCTTTTGAATCATCATAGACAGCGTGCTCATTCAAGACTTTGTGGTTTGATCGGGGGAGGCATTTGAGCTACATCTCGGATCTCGGATCTTGTCCTTGCTGTAGATTTCCTTCGCTTGATGAAGGCATCGGATTTCGCGTCTATATTTGAGATCACCCTTGAGATACTCCTCTCTCTCTTAGGACCCTTTGGAGCCTCATCTTTCCCTTGTAATGGTGCAGGCCTCCCCTCTCCTATATTCTTTCCTCTCTCTACCACCTCCATCTCTCTCTCACCTCCCTTCTTCACATCTCCCCCTTGCTTTTGGGTTGCTATGGTGGCAGCTCTTCCTTTTTCTTTCTCTTGAGACTGGATCTGAGGAGTTAAGACCTTCTCCATTCCTTTATCTTGTTTTTCACCATTGGTGATACTCTCCTTTCTCTCTCTTCCCTCTACAAGTAGGCTCTCATGGCCTCCAGGCACCATGGAACCTTTGTCTTGTGCCATAGGCTGAGTGTTTTCTTGACTTGGGGTAGGCATAAGGGCTTTTTGTCCACCTCCTTTCTCTATTAGCTGGTCTTGAGGAGCACTAACCTTCTCCAAACCTCTCTCTTGAACTAACGCAGGCTTCTTCTCTCTCATCTTTGAAACCAACTTCTCTTGCTCTTGAGCCATATTGGACTCACCCTTACTAGGGAGTTGGGTATAAATAACAACTTCATCTTTGTCTGAGGGCTTGTCTATTGCCATATCACCTTCACCCGCATTCCTCTTCTCCCCTTGAGACCCATCTTTGGGTCCAACTTGGGTTTTCAAGGGACTCACCTCATTCTCTTGGATGTGAATGTCTTTTCCATGGAACCCATTTGTGGGCTCAGTGGCTTTATCCAATGAGCACTTGGTTGAACCAGGGTGGTGATTCTTGTTGGTGGGGTTGAGAGTCACTTGACCAGGACCCCTAACCCCAAAAGTTAGCCCTTTGAGGGATTGGAAGGCCAAGTTTTTGGTGAGAAATGTGTAAAGTCTATGGCAAATGCACTTAGGCTTCTTGGTGGTTTCCTCCCTATCCATTTCTAAAAACAAGTGAGAGGTTAAGGGATAGACTTTTGAGTGGTTGGATATTACAAAGGGGAATGGAGGGGTTTTATGTTACATTGTTATGTGATTCTTGTCTTGGGATATGAGGTTGCTTGGGAATTTTACCTACATAGTAGAAGAGTATTATTGTGAGCAATCAATCCAATGTATTCTAAACTTTACTTTTGTGTAAGTGGGGTGATTTAGGCTTGGGATCCATTCCTTCCTTCCTTCTTTTTACCTAAAAGAAGTGGTAGGTCCCCAAGTAGTTGATGTTATTTTCCATTCTTCCTCTTTTCAGCTTATGTAAAGTTGCACACTCCTTCACCAAGAAACTTGCAACACAAACATATCACTTACTTCTAGATTCCAATCATGTAAAGTTGCAAACTCCTTCACCAAGAAACTTGCAACACAAACATGCATCACTTACTTCTAGATTCCGGCCGTTTTTACACACAGGGCATTGACATTTCGGTGGTCTAGTTCGTTATCACGCTAGTCTCACACACTTGAGGTAACCCCGTTCGAACCTGGGTTCAGACAATTATAACTTTTTTAAATAATACCTTTTTTAAAAAGAATTTCTAAATATAGCAAAAAAAAATTTATTTTTCTAACGAACGTTATTATAAAAAACAAAAAAACGAGATTAATAACCAGCGTTATTATAAAAAAAACAACATTTATCAGCGAGACTAAAAAGGGAGGAAATTGTATTGCAGTTGATTTCTAAATAATGCCTTTTTTAAAAAAATTCTAAATATAGCAAAAAAAATTATTTTTCTAACAAACGTTATTATAAAAAAAAAACATTTATCAGCGAGATTAAAAATTTACAACTTTTATTTAATAAAGAAACCATAAATGAAGAAAATCAGAGAGAGAAACAGAGACATTTAGAGAGAGAGAGAGGAGGGGGGATCAATACCATATGTACTCTGCAATGATCTTATCAGTGATGGGAGTGAGATCCGGTTTCAGGAGGTCTTCCAATCTATTGACGACGCCATTATCACCGGATTTTGCAGGTTTTACAGAGAAAACTCTAAATTTGGTGGCACTTTTGAAGCTGTTTCTTCTGCGAAGTCTCTGGTTCAATAGAAGGGCATTCCACATTTTTGCAGTCACAAGCTCCTACTTTAATGGAAACTTTCGCGGATCCCAACGATTTGCACCATTTTTCTGCAAGAAAATGGAAGAAATAACTTCAAAATGTTATAAGTTACAGAGAGAGATTACAAAAACGAACATGAAAGAGTGCCACCAAAACGCATATGGGCATTTCTCAAGAGTACAGGAGTTGCCAGGCTAATTAGGGAGGGCAAAGTACGAGAAACTTATCTGTAGAAGTGAGATTACAAATACTGTGCTAATCAAATAATCAAATAATCTACGAGGACCATGGATTATAATGTTTATCCGAGAAGCATTAACCAACTTCTTATAGCATTTCAACTTCTAGGGCATTAACTCGACGACTCATGAAAGCATAGAAGATGGATATTGTATAATAGCAAGTATACTCGTACAAAGCATATTATAACTTATAAAAAAATGGAAAAAGTAAAAACATACGATTTGCAAAGCAAAGCATACCATTGATTAGGAACAAAATCAAGCATTTGGAGAGAGAGAGAGAGAGAGCACTTGGACGATCATATCGCTGCTTGAAAAACAAAATATCGTGATATTTTGCTTGATTCACAAAATTTCAAGGAAAATAAATGTGGGAAGAAGAAAGTCGTAAATGATTTTATTTTTAATACAAAAAAATCACAATTATCACTAGCCATTAGAGGTAAAATAGGACGACTAGAGATCACATTTGAAGTTTGAGAAAACTCTCTCAAAATTTGTCAAAAAAACCCCCAAAACATCTTATTTTATTTGTGAGCTTTGGTTGTCTGACTTTTTAGGCCTTCATATTTCATAATAACATCCTCAAGCTAGCAACCAAATCCCAAAGAAAAGGAAGAAAAAGAAATTAATACCATTCGGTAGGTGCCTGGGAAAAATGATGTCGTAAATTTCAACACAGGTTGTCCACTTTTTGGACTATAAGATCCAAGTATTTAGAAAGTTAAAAAACTAATCTTTTTTTCATTTTTCTTCAAACACCAATTTGGTAATATTCTAAAATGGATCCTAAAACTTTATATAAAAATTGCTCCTAAATAGGTGTCATACCCGAAGGAGTAAATATACAATATGATCAAGTGGGAGCATGCTGTACGAGCTATAGAAAAGTAGGCAAAATGTTTAGTTTTTTTTTTTTTTTTTTTTGTAATTCAATAAGGATGACGGCCCACATACAACTGAGGTATGAGATATGCTACCACTATGACCCCCTTACCCACATAAGAGAAAAAATAAGGATACTTAAAACTATGAATATATAAAGTGCTCCCGTGAAAGCAAAAGAACCATTTAGAGAATTTTCTGGTAAAAGAAAAAAAAATGGAATCCATGTTAAACTCAACCACGAGCATTTTCATTAAAAAACATAGATAAGAGTTCCACAATGCTTGTGATCAAATCATCTGAATTTAGACAATCTCTATTCAATCTTAAGACGGGTGGTGCGGCATTGCGCTACATCCTTGAAATTTGGAATCCTAAACTAAAACAAGTAGAGGAAGTGATAGTATACCCTTTTGACAGGTGACATCCCTAAATTTGAGGTCCTAAATTACTCTTAAATAAAGGGACAGAGCATAAAATCTTTTAATTGGAAAGTGAATCATGGTGAAACATAAAAGATAGATTCAAAGGCCCATTTTGGAGGATTTATGAAACCTATTGTAGCTCGAGACAATCATGCTTGGATATTTATTAAAGAGGGTTTATCAACCTGAAATTTTGAGATCCACAACATAATCACGAGGTATCGACAAATTTTGGATTATGAGTCTCTAAACGCTTATTGTGTGAGAATATTATAGACAATCCCTTAGATCTTAGGATTATTTTGGTTTTCCTTCTAGCACCTAGAGTGCATAATAGAATCATCAAATACATATTTTCAGAAAAGAGAAATTCAGATTCTAAGATTTTGAAGACTTCCCTATGAATTCACAATAGAATCATGAAATACATATTTTCATAAAAGAGTAATTCAGATTCTAAGCTTTTGAACACTTAGTCTGTTTGAATATCAGACGGTCACAATCTCTCTTAAATCTTTGGGTATTTTTTTTCTCTTTCATTCTTCATGCATCATGCGCTCAAATAAGTGCATATGAGATTTTTCTTTTGTTGCTTCAGATTAATCGATTGGTTGAAGAAGTCACATTCCCAAAATTTGGGGTTCTAAAGTACATTCTTAAATAGGGCTTCATTTGGCTTTTGAAAAATCTAGGGGATCAAATCCTTCTTTCTCATGAGATGTATAATAGAAAAGTCAGAAAGGAGACGATAAATGGGGGCTATGATACAATTTTGAATATCAACAGCAATGGTTCTCTGATATGAACCCAAGGCACACGATAAAAGACCTGGCATTCATGGAATCACTAGAAATAATTTTTTTTATCAAGCTTACAAACAACCATACAGAAATAAGACATACAATTAACAAGCTTCTAATTAATAAAACAGAGTCAAATATCATGAACAAATAATGCCCCAATAAAATTCCAAATTGATTAAAGATAAGAGGCTAAATGATAAATCGTGACTTAGCCCACTAACAATGGTGGGCTTTATATGGGCCCCATACACAGCATTTATGTGTATGGAGATCGATAACTGCCTGTTCTGTTTAATCTTTTCACCAGATGGTTGGCTGTAAACCGACAATAATACTACATATTAATTACGGTTTGACAAGAATGGTTGGTGTTAGTCTGTGACATTGTCAGTCACCAGAGATGTAAATCATGACTATGCGAACCCATAGAGTTTCCCATGATGATATACAACGATCACATTTTCCCTTCCATCACGAAGGGCACTTCACAACCCCTTGAAGCACATTAAATTGTAATCAGAGCTCCAAGCAAACGTCAGCTAAAACTGAAGCTGCTCTTCTCCTTGTCCTTTGGCTCACTTTCCATTTCTCAACCACCACCTTTTTTATACTGAGACAGCTTGAGACCACGGTGGCCACACCAGCAGCTGTTACAGATGGGCAATAAACCATGTGGCACGATTCGAGCCTCGTACATCTCTTTACAAGATGCCCAAGACCTATATCAGATATTTTTCGACAGTGAGACAAAACAATGTCCTTAAGTAAGGGACACCCTTCCCCTAATTCAGCGAGGGCCATGTCTCCTACATTCTGCAAAGCCACCATGGATGATCATAAAGCAGTCAACTAATTAGGGAAGTGTTGAAAAATGACATACTAGATAAGAGAGTGCATGAAACCGAGAATGTGAGAGAGAGGTGCAAACAGGTTAAACCACGACCATACCTGGCAAACACTAATGGGTGTGTGCACGTGTGTGAGTGAGAGAGAAACATTTAAATGGGTTGTGAGAAGGCCTACCCGGCAAACACTAACATCAAGATAAACAAGTTCAGGGCAACCCTTGGCTATGGCCATCACTCCGGCATCCCCAATACGGTGGCAACCACTGACATTGAGATACCGTAGAGAACATCCCCGACCGATCGCAATAAGGGCCTCATCGCCCACCCTGGTTAATCCATGGTAAACGAAAGTTAATACCTCTTCTTTAAACCAAATTTAACTACAACCCAGAATGAAGATAATGACATGACAAAACCAAATAGTTTCCAATTCAAACTGTAGGAAGACGAGAAAAAGAAAATGGATCAGAGTCACATTATTAAAGGAAAAGGAAAGCCTGCTATAGCAGCATGCTCATCATATTCCTGTCAGAATTGAAACCATCCAAATCCATAAAAAGAGGAACCCAGAGGTGATGATAACACATCAACAATAACCACTTTTTCCAGTGAACGCCATCAGCATCAACCCTACTTCAGCAGTCCCAAGTAACAGTAAGATATTCATTTGCCTAACTAAGCCAAGGTTTTCTAAGCAAAAAATACAACACGGATTTGGAGAGAGACATGTTTTCACAAGAATCACATTAGAGATAATTTCAAATTGCAGAAAAGAGCCAATATAATGAAGAGCAGAGCATAAGAAAATGGATAACTTCCAATAATTGGCCTCATAATGCCAAGAACAACCATGCTTTTCAAGGGAAGTGATGAAAGGTGACAAACTACGAGACAACATTACCATATAAAAAATAACTCTATAACAGAAGGAAATATAATGGGTCCAAACAAAACTCACCTATCACAGAATCGAAGGCTTAGATCTGTCAAAAATTTGCAATTTTCACCCACAGCTATGATACCTTTGTCACCAATCTGTGTATATTAATAGCAAACATGAGATCTTTTACAATAGATTCAGAAACAAGAAACTACAAAGCAAGCTGATTTATCATATACTATAGCCTTAATATATTACCAGCACAAAATCTTGAAATAAGACGACATTCTAATTTCTAGGAGAAAATTTCAAGCAACACATGCCACTTAAGGATATTGTTTACGTAAATTCAAAAAAAAAAAATAAATAAATAAAAAAAGGGGCCAAGTGATGAAAAGGCTACCTCATAGCATCTACGCACATGAAGTTTTTTCAAGTTCTTGCATCCTTGAGCTATATTGCATATGGCAGCATCTCCTATACTCGAACAGTCAACTAAGTGAAGTGCCTGCAGCAATTTGCACCCCCTTCCAATTTCCAAGAGGGCATTATCACCAATTTTTTGGCAGTACATAAGAACCAGTTCCGAGAGGCCCCTGCAGTTCGTAAAAACAGAATAAATTTTTTTTACGAGAGCTAATAACAAAAAGAACAGTTACACGTAAGATTCCCATCTAAAGGAAATAAACGGCGAAAGTAAAACTAGCAAAACACAAGTTTCACATGAGATGGATCATTGACAAGAAAATTTGCACATGCCGAGGATAAACACGTCACAGTCAAGTCTTAAAAGTGATGCTACTGATTATCGTCACATTAGCAGAGGCCCCTAAAACCGCCACAACATAGTGTGCTATCCAACATGTACCTAAGTCCCAAGGTTGTAGAATCCTATAACATACCAGCAGTTAGGTCTTTACAAAAGAAAATTTACATGTAAGATTCAACCATTGTTTGGATGAAAGTCCCAGACTAGTTGCGAGAAACGGCCTTTTTCAATGAACCATTGTCCAGTGATAGATATTAACCCCAACGACATATCTCACCCATGTATCCAACAACGTACGTAGTACGCCAGCATCTAGTGACAGAAAATGACATCACTGCTTAATTCCTCCTCCAACATCCCCGCTGCCAGACTATAATGTGCATAACCATTACAGAAACTCTTCGGCAAAAGTTTGAGGTACAATGGTGTATCACATCACAAGGAAGAAGTTCCACACAAAAATGAGAAGACAAGTAAATGACAAATAAATTAGCTACTCAGCATCAAAAACCAGTTCCAAGGAAGCCTTACCCAGAATCCAGAGAGAAGTTAGGAAAAGAAAAACATACTGGCAAGATCTTCCAATGGCTTCAAGTCCAGATGTTCCAATATTATGGCAACCGTTAATTTCCAGATGAGTAAGCTCAGTGCAGCCAACAGCAATTGCAGCAAGACTCTTGTCACTCAAGAAATAGCAGTCGGTCAAAGTGAGAACATTGAGGTTTTTACATCCCTTTCCAATGGCACAGAGGCTCCTACAAGATCCACGAGAAAGTAAACATCACTGCTGACCAGGAGTTAAGAAGCTTAAGCTAATATTTACTAAGCCGCAGAAAGGGGAAAAGATTAAAGCCCACTAAGCCCTGCAAAGCGTCAAGTATGCATTGATACCATGAGAATGCATTTTTTTGTTTTTTTGATAATGCATTGATAGCATATGTGTACATGTCATTCAATAGCTCTCTCTTGAAAAGACACACAGAACGACCCATTGTAGACAACATAAATTTAGAGCATCATGATGGAATAAATCCTTAAATCTCCAATATGTTAAATAAGTATCTGGATGAATGACATATAAAGGAATTCTTCTGTTATGAGAAGCTGAGATCAGTCAATACATCCACAACAATATATCTGTTAATTTTTATTTAAAAATTTTTGGAGTTCAAAAGCCTTCTTAATGTTAATATTGGTGCTGGTCCATCATGCTCTTTTGGTATGCATGGACCACCACTTCTTCCTCCCACCTTTTTCTTTTGTCTTAATTGTTTGTTAATTGTTGCTTGGTCATGGAGACCTCACCTCCTTGCCCTCATGGGAGACAAGTGTCCATGCACTTGGCATTACACATTCTCTCTCTCTCTCTCTCTCTCTCTCTCTCCT